CCCCAAAACCCCAAAACCCCAAAACCCCATATTTGCTCATGTGATCGAAGTTTGGATTAATAAAAATTATATCAAATAAATGAGATAGAATTAAGAAAATAATCATATTTTATCCTTCAATACCTGTATGATAATGACTTGTATGGACCATTTACCTAACAATTGATGTAATCAGCTTATTCTTGAGTTAGTTCAGTAAGTTCAGCATCTAATGCATGCAAATGAAGTCTAGCAACCATTTCATCTAGTTTCTTAGGGAGGACATAAATTTTTCCTTTTTCATATTTAGTTTCATTCCTGGATGTCCATAATTCAATCATAGCTAGAACTTAGTTAGCAAATGAATTTGACATGACAAATGATGGATTACCATTTGCACATGCCATATTAAAACAAGTTCCTTCGGCAAGAACAATAACTGAATGGCCTTATGGGAATTTATATCTATCTACTAAAGGCTTAATGTTTTCTTTGAAGATACCTGGGTATTTTTTAATGCCATCAACATCAATTTCATCATCGAAAGAGCCAATATTTCCTAAGATTACATTATTTTTCATTTGTTCCATATGATGTGTTGTGATAACTTTCCTGTTACCTGAAGCAGTTATGAAGATATCAGCCTCTCTCACAACAGTCTCTAACCTCTTAACTTCGTGTCCTTCCAAACAAGCTTGGAGTGCACAAATTGGATCACATTCAGTTACAACAACTCGAGCTCCAAATGCTCTCATTATTTAGGCGCATCCCTTACCAACATCTCCATATCCACATATTACAACCTTTTTTCCAGAAATCATTATGCCAGTTGCTCTCATAATACCATCAATAAGAGACTGCCTGCAGCCATACATATTATCAAATTTTGTTTTTGTTACAGAATCATTAACATTAATCGCTCTAACTAATAGTTCTCCTCTTTTGGACATTTTTTGCAATCTATGAATACCGCAAGTTGTTTCTTCAGCAATCCCAATGAGCCTGTTGCCTATTTTTGTCCACTTATCCCCACACTCTCTGAGACCCTTTATTATCATTTTGGTCATTACTTCAAATTCTCTGTTTTCAAATTCATCTGGATTAGTAAAAGCTCCAGTCTTGGCAAATTCTTGTTCGTATTTGATTCCATTGTGAATAAGGATTGTACAATCACTGCCATCATCTATTAAAAGATCTGGACCATCACAATCTGGCCATTCAAAAATTTTTTAATTGCAATTCCAATATTCCTCTGTAGTTTCACCATTCCATGCAAATATATTAGCACTTTTGGAGTGAACCAATGCAGCTGCTGCATGGTCATGAGTGGAGAAATTATTGCAACTAGCCCATCGAATCTCTGCTCCTAATTCTTTTAATGTTTCGATAAGAACGGCTGTTTGAAGAGTCACACTTAAACATCCGGATATCTTTGCTCCTTTGAGTACCTTTTGTGGACCAAACATGGTTCTTAAAGCCATTAAGCCTAATTTTTATTGAAATTACATTGAAATATTACCTGGCATCTCTGTTTCTGCTAATTTTATTTCTTTTCGACCCCATTCATGTAGGTTAATATCGGCTATCTGACTCTCAAATCCGTTCGTGTGCATATTATATTAATGGAAGATTTAGTTTAATTTCACTTGACCTTCCATGTAATTTAATAATAATAATTTTCATATATCTGCTCATTTAAAATTTGAGCCACGGGGTTTTGGGGTTTTGGGGTTTTGGGG